AAGAGTTATCTTCTGTATTGTGGAGCATTAATACCACCCCAATTGATCTACGGGTTATACGCCTTTCTTCATGGTTTACGGGGCAGAAGCAGTTCTCCCCAGTGATATTCGCCATGATTCGCCTCGGGTGGCAGCTTATGTTGAAGCGGACAATGAACAAGCACGCCAAGACGCATTGGACCTGTTAGATGAAAATGGGACATAGCAGCGGCCCGTTCGGCGATTATCAGCAAGATCTGCGGCGTTACCACAGCCGTCGGGTTAAAACCAGAGCTTTTCAAGAAGATGACTTAGTGCTCCGGCTTATCCAGGATCGGACTGATATGCACAAGTTATCCCCACCTTGGGAAGGAACCTTTGTGTCAGCAAGAATATGAACAACGGGTCATACTACCTCATCGATGTTCGATAGCACAAAGACTCACGCAAATCGGAGGAGGAGACCCGCCAGCCGTGGAATATTGCTCATCTTCGGCCTTATTACACCTGAGCCATAGGCTCTTCTGATGTACATATCTTGACAATGTATATATTATGATCAATATAATAAACCGGCATGCCCGCTAAAACAGGGCCTCTGTCGTTTTTCTCTTCAATGAGTTTTGGGTTCTCCGCTTTATAAAGTGATGTTATCATTACCCTTTGATCCGGCTTATTGGTCACAAAAAAAAGCTTGGGGGCTTGCAACCCATGTTATGAGGACCAAAAGAGAGTCTGTTGTAAAAAGCACAACTCAAACATAGGTACCCCTTGAGCACAGCTCACAATATTACTTGGGGGCTCTTTCTGTTCTAAAGAACAAAAGTGGCTATAACCCTTGTGATATGTTATAAAAGCCAGGCTTGGAAGCCAGGTGTATTCACCTAAAACCCTGGGCCATCCTGCCTGTATTCCGGAAGCTTCTCCATCACGTAATCCTGATTGACCCGGCAAACTCTTAACAGTTAATCTTTTTCTAGCAAAGACCCTGAACTTGTTAAGGTTAAAATGTTGTTTCGTCATGAGAGGGCACGGTTTACGGATAGTAAGGAGAAGCTCAGGCTGTTACAGCCGCCTTCCTTGAAACTTGGATAATTCGGCTTGTGATGCTTGATGTACTCTGACCCCGCGTACTCCTGATAAGTCTATCTTTAAATAAGAACTGAACTTATCCGAGTTAAAATGTCGAAGTGGTAGTGTGAGTGCCGGCTCACGGAAAGCGCGTACCTTCGAGTGGTTAATACTAGTTTCATTGAAGAAGATATTTTGGCTCGGCGGCCTATGAAAGCCTTGGATTTTTCTGTTAATTTTTCTTTGAATGTCTTTTTGCAATTTTTTCTCTTATGCCACAAAAATTACATGGTTGAAAACCAAGTAAGGCTTATAAAGCTTCATGACTCGTACATATGGGGACAAACTGGTGTTTATTAATCCGGCCTGGTTTCTGCCTATAAGTTACCAGTATGAAAGAAAGGTAATCCGATGTTTATTAACCCGGCTTGGTATTAAACCAGAAATATACTTATTACACTAGCTTGATAAATCTGTAGTGAACACATATCACAGGTATGTTGTATATTATTATTTTTCATCCTACATCAGTCATAAACTATGTTGTGGGGCATGATAACCCGTCTAGCGGTAAACCGCCAAGACGCAATTTATCTGTTATATGCAGGAACAAATTCTACGAAAAACAAAGCGTCATGAGCAAACATAGCATGATCATAAGCATGGCGGGTTAACAGTATCACACAAAGTGCACGATGGCACGTCAGATCCAAGAAGTTTTCAACTAGCCTATTACACGGCATTTTCATGCCCAAAAGCATAAGTCTTGCAAAACAAAGAAGGTAAACCGGCCTCCAGTTTATGCATCAGCGGCGGGCTGGCTTGACGGTTGCAGATCATCTTGTGTCGATTCATCCTCTTCCTCTCTATCTAGTGGCTGGAAGTCTGTGGTTGACCAATCGATCTCAGTTAAGGCTCTGAACACATCTTCATCGATTATAAGATTGGAGGGGTCAACTTCAGGGGCATAAGTATGCTTACGAATTGGCGGAATAAGAGTGGGAGTTTTGTAGCTCGTCGTATTGACCCTCTTGTTGTGAGCATCATAAATCGATTGATGAAACGAAAGATCGGTTTCTTCAGTCAACTTACTAGCCAACGGGCGCATCTCCTTCATCAAAGCCAGAAGATCTTCATTATCAAATGTTGATCCATCCTCTTTGATGCTTGGATAGCCATCCCCTATGTCAGCTGGATCAAGATCAGATATCCACGCCTTAGCACGGGTTAGTGCGGTAAGAGCGCCGGCCCTTGTAGCTGATCGTTTTATCTCTTCAAGCCGGGAGGGCATCATCGACAGCCTCTCTAAAGTATCCTTGATCAAGGTTGGAGGCGGTTTATTGTAAGAAGCTGTGCAGATAATCCGTTGTGCGCCGGTGTATCGATGTTGGCCTTCTGACTGACTAGCCAGGCGAGGCCTTGATCATCAGGACAGTTGCCCTCTATGTGATCAAGAGGAAGAGTCAATCAATCACCTCATGCTACACTGCGTGTTTGCAAAGGAGATATGGACGGCGGTCCTACAAGCTATGGGCAAGATGGAGTGGATGCCGATGACGGGCAGCAAAATTAAAGACTGATGCATAGATAAGGGAGGTACAACTAAGCAGAAGAGGGATCAGGCGACAATTCTCATCTTGGTCATGTGGGAGATATGGAAGCACCGCAATGCCATTATCTTCGACGGTGCCTCGCCATCCAAGAACTATGTTATTCTTCGGATTTGCCAAGAGGGTAGATCGTGGAAACAAGCGGGGTTGATCAAAGGTGACACGGACGCATTCTTTCATGATATGGAAATGTGGGCTAGTGCGAGGAGTTAGTATGTAGTTGAGGTAGTAGTAGTGGTGGAATCATGTTTTTTTTAGAACAGGTGGAATCATGTTTTTTTTTAAGAACGGGTGGAATCGTGTTCATGTAATATGTAAACACTGATGTGGAGGTGCTCTTTTTCCCCACTCGTTTATAGTAAAGTACACACACTCGTGCGTATTCGAGAAAAAAATAAACTTTTTTTTTTGAAACAGAGCAGTATGAGCTAGACCAGACCGCGGCCCAACGAGGCTCACGGCTCGTTCGCGGCATCAACCGCGTGTGTGTGGAGCGGAGCAAAAACACTGCAGACCAGCCAGCGGTGCAGGGGAGCGGGACGGCGACGGGCCTGGCCGATCCGGTCCCTCCATCCGCGCACCGACGGCCGAGGGCGTCCCGGATCCGGTTTTGGTGTGCCCGAGGGATCCAGAAGTGGGTGAGGCAGAGCGCGTATAAAACAGAGGGAGCCTTCTTCTTCCTCCTCTCGCTGGCTTTGCCTTGTAGAGGGGAAGAACAGGGCAGGAGAGGAGAGGAGAGGAGGCACACGAAATCTGTTCCGAATTCCCACCGATTCTCCACTGCTCATCCCAGCCTTAGATAAATTCGCACTTCCGCTTCGAGGAGGAGAAGAGGAGCGAGGGAATTCGGCTGTGGATTGGATTGGAGCACTAGAAGAGGCGGCGATCTTTCATAGGTACTGGTCCATCCCGTCTGATCATCTGCGGTCCTCTCCTCGCTCATTCGTGTCTCCCGGGGTTGTTCCGGCGGGGAAAGTGGACTCGTACGGCTTGCGCTCCGGTGAAGTTTTTGGTTTGATTTTCTTTCTTTCTGTGGTTGTTCTAGCTTGTGATTTGGTTGGATTCTCGGGGGGTTCTCTGGTCTGGTTGTCTGATCTGGAAGATCCAGTTCCTTATCTTCTTCTGGGAGGATTTCCGAAATTCTGCTTTTGTTGGAAATCCTTATCTGTGCTGTGATTCGTCTGGTTCACCTGCGTTTCCTGCACCGGATGAAGTGAGCGGTAATCTGGAGTTGGTAATTCGAATCCAGTTTGCCGGTTACGCGTTCCCTGTCCCGGGTGAAGTAGTAGTAATCGGTTATCTGGATCGAATCGGCGGGACCGCATTACGGCATGGGCTTCGTCGAGTTGCGCGCCTACGATTGAGCATAATCTGGCCTACCTGACTTGGGATTCGCGCGATTGGGAGGTGGCGGGTGATTAGGATCGGGCGGTTTCGCCAACAATTTTTTCCACTGCCTGTTCGGCAAGTTGCAGGTCTGTATCATCTGGTGTTCGTTCCTCGCAGTAGTTCGATCGGGAAGAGCGAGCTCAAATCGGGCTCAAATGGGGGCGTTGTTTAGGTAGCGTGCTGGGGGTGGTTTGGAATTTGGATCATCTCCTCCAGTTCCCCTTTTTTCTTGGGTATACTATACCATCATCAAGCCGGCACATTTCAGTCTTACTTTTTTTCTTCTTCTCTGCTGCCGATTGGTGTCTCGTGTTGTGTTCGATTTCCTTTTTGCATTTCCATCCTTTCTCGAATTTGCTGGACCGCAATTTCCACTCTGGAATCATCCTCGATTCGTTCTGTTCTTCTCCGCGTTCAGTAATTCGATTTGGTTCTTTCAAGTGAGTTAATTGAGCTGGATTTCCAGGCACTTAGTTTTGGATTTGATCTGGTAACTTACCTGGCTTTACGCCTGTTCGATCTGAAAGCAACCAGCTCGCCTTTTCCCCCCCTCAGCAGAACTCGAAAAACCTGGAGCTATGTTTGGTTAATTCGATCGGCCACTAAAAATCCAGTGAATTGAGTTGAATCTGAGGCTTCTTCCGATGTTTTGGTCTTCCAGTTAGATTAAGTAGACAAAATCCCCCAAGTCCTCATGTTCATTTCAATTCTTCATCTCCCCTTTTTACCCTCTGCATTTAGCATCCTTCAACTTTAGCTGGTTGATTTTTTTTCGGAGAAACTTTATTGTTGATTTGATCGGCCATCACAAAATAATTGAGCTGAATCTTTAGATGTTCGTCCCATCTTGTTCCAGTAGACAAATTCCCCAACTCACCCTGTTCGTTCATTTCAATCTGACTGAAATTTTCTTGGTTCCATCTTTTCGTGCAGCACGGCGCAAGTCCGGCGATGGAGAGGGAGTCGAGGAAGAACTACCAGACGCGAGGCTCCGCGCGCGGCGGCGGCGGCGGGGGCGCTGGCGGTGGCACGGCGGCGGAGCGCGACCTGCTGCTGCAGTGGGGAAACCGGAAGCGCCTGCGCTGCGTCAAGGTGCAGCGCCGCGACGTCGAGGCCGCGGCCACGGCGGCCGCCGAGAAGGCCGCGGTAGGACAGCGCCGCGCCGCCGCCGCCGCCGCTGCCGCTGCCGCAGCCACGGCGGCCGCGCAGCACCACCCGCCCGGCCACGCCCACCACCGCGCCCTCAGGTCCGTCTCCCCCCCTGCTGCTCTTCTTCAGCATTTTCTCCCTCTCTCCCTCTGACTGTACTCTCTGACTCCGCGTGTTGGTTAGCGATAACATTCAGAATCCCCATGGGTAGGGTTGAAAGTGTCACGTGATGTCCGTGTCTGGGCACGTGAGTTGGAGCGTCAGAAAGTTTTGGTTGCGTTTGATCCGATTCACTTTTAAATTCAAATGTGGGTTTGTTCTTTACCTGAGTGACCGATATCGGATTCAGAGATTCAGAATGGAAACATTCGATCATGGTAGGCGATGCGATGATTGGTTTTTGGTTTTGGTTTTGGGGCAACATGATTGATGTTGGTTGGCCATGTTGTTGTCATTGGGCCAACCTTATGATCTTCCAAAAGATGGAGTGATCCTGCTTTTTTTCTTCTCTTTTTCAAGTTATCCTGGTCAAGCATTGGTGGATTGTCCAAGAGGATGTGAAGCCCTGGGGTGTTCTTGAGGTTTTCTCCATTTGAACCTTGATCGATATCCTTGGGGCAGGCAAGCAGTCCTAATCTTGAATTATTTACAGTGGGATTAAATGCTGTTTTCTCTTGTGGCTCAACTCAGCCCCTTGAAAAGCCAGGCGAATCAGATTTTTGCGAGGCTAAAATTAGGAGCACCAGCAGACTGCTACTTGTCTGGTCAATCGAGCTGATTAAAGCTCAATTCAAGCTCTGCTAGTTGTCTTCTCAGATGGACCTGATCCGTGAATCTTCGATTCTGACCTGCTTTGTTATTGGGATTGTTCGTGAAAGCTGCGAGAGATGAGGTTCTCATTTAAGTTGTTGATGGCAATAGCTTGTCAGCATGTGTGTTTGGATGGCCACATACTTTGTATCGGCTATTTTACTGCTGACTAATTTTAGCCCGAGAAAGAAAACACCATATTTATCTCAAACCAGTCACCACCGCACGTATAGTGGATGGTGATGGTGACAACTTGTTCATTCATTGTTCTTCGGTTTTTCAATTTTGTTTCTTGTATTTGCTGGATTGAAGTCGAAGTTTTTGTTTGCTTGCTATCCATTTCCCTAAATGTGTGTGAATCGCGAAATTTTGCAGTCCCCACTCTCCCTGTGTTTCAGCATTGATGCATGATTTGCAGTCATAAATTTTGCAGCCATGTATGTTTATGTACCCAATTCTCATTGTGACCACAATTGAATAGATCTTTTTTTTGAATAATCAATTGAATGAATTTCTATCTGCGTGTACATAATTACATTACCTTTTGCCCTTTTGCCCTTTTGCATTTTTGCTGAATTATAAGACTATACACATGACATTTTTATATAGGATTATAACGTACTCAGTGAATACCTACGATTTTCATAAACTGTATTTCATCCGTGTTATTAGGTGCAAACACTTTTCCCATCAAGAGAAATGAACGAACAATTTTGTTGCTCAATGTGCTCCTTCTATTTTTAGAGCTTACTTATGACGCAGTTCAAATAAATGTTTAAAATTCAAAATGGTGTAGCCACAACCATTCCAAATTCACAAAAAGAACATCTAAATAATTCACCAGTCTAGACATTACACTTTATTTACCTCTTATATGTTGTCATTGCAACATAGCAATTTTCTGTATCATCTTTAATCCTTGCTGCTACCAAATTGGCAGGAATCCTGAGGAGTCTGGAGCAATGAGGCCGCCATCACAGCAGCAGCAGAACAACACGATCCGCACGGTTACATCCCCAGTCAGGGAGCGCTCTGCAAAGGGAAACAACGACAACAACACGGTGCCTCCGACCTCTCTCGATGACAAGAAGGGCTCGTCGTCTGGGAGTGAAGGGACAATCTGGCCCAATTTTGCGGTCTCCCTAACGAACAAAGAGAAGGAAGAAGACTTCTTGGTGTTCAAGGGGTCCAAGCTGCCTCAGAGGCCCAAGAAGAGAGTGAAAGCCATCCAGAGGACTGTCAATGTATGAAACTTTTTCCTCAGCTCCCAAACTTTAACTGTTTATTATGATTTCACATAGGATTCTTCTCTCATCTTCCTTTCGCGGGGCATAGGATTCTTATCTTCTTATAGACAGTAAATAAATTAGTTTCCACAGAGATTCCAGTATTAAAAATTGCACAGCAGTACTACTAATGGATCCAAACTTAAATGCAAGATCAGAAAACCAAGAGCGTACCACGGAGTAAATACATTTGAATAAGCACTTTTAGTAGAGACAGGGCATGAGATCACATGGAGCATATGGCCATCTCTGTGCACGATGCCTGCCTTGTCCCTTGGCTAAAGGAGACGTGCAAATAAAATAGCAAAAGATTCCGTGTATGCCTCAGTGATTATACATGAGATTTAATTAACTTGATTGCCAATAGGCGTCCATAATACCACCGCATGCTTCTGTCTGAAGCAAATATAAGATTGTCTGAAAGCATTCAGTGCTCCATGTGTTGTGTTGTTCCTACTGTTTAACCTTACTCAGTACCTTATTACCTTGAACTGGCCAAACTAATTACCATTCTATCTTATCTCGGGACAGTGCTTACCGAGTGGTAGTGTCATCTGTCCATCTTTCTTGAACTCCATTTCTGAATTCTATATGGTGGAGCAGTAACTAGTCCTTGTGCTTGTGGTTGAAGCATGCTTTGGAGTTAAGATTCTTATTTTTAGATACTTGGGGGTTTTGTGGAAGGAAAGATAATTGGAGTTAAGCTTAAGAAAGCACTTTGTGCTTTTTTTTCTAGGATATTAATGTCTACATTTATGTTCATATGTTTCTGTTCAAATTGTGTTTCACTGTCAGTCTGTCACCGATTCTGCGGTTCTCACCGAAGATTTGTCTGTTCATCTTTTGCAGTTTGTATGCCCTGGAACGTGGCTATGCGACCTGACTCTGGAAAGATACGAGGTACGAGAGAAGAAGGTCTCCAAGAAGGTGAGCAAAGGCTAGCATAACATGTTATCATGTCCAGTTCTGTAAATCCTGCATCGCTCATGCGCTAGGTAGAAACCAACCGCCTGACCGACGCTCTTCTTGCTCGATATCGCAGCGCCCCAGGGGACTGAAAGCGATGCACGACATGGACAGCGAGTCGGAAGAGTGATGGTACGATCGTCGTCGAGCCTGAGCAGCTGAGCAGTTAGAAAAGAAGAATATACACAAACACCGCCACAGATCCCGTAACCGAAGATTGAAAGTTAACCTTCCCAGACGGAATGATCAGTGGGCCGACTCCCGACCGATCGATCGGTCGGGAACGGCCTCCGGGGTGCTGTGGAGATTGCACAGGAAAACACAGAGCGGCTGTAGGTTGTTTCCATGCCTGCCTCTGTAATTTATTTTACAGAGAGCGTTGGCTATATCATGTCCCCAAGGGCCCTGACCTCATGTTGATACCATTTGAGAGCATCTCCTCTCGCTGTGTCGTCAAATGGGTGCCGAGTGGGGTGCTCCAGTGCAGCAGGCGGGCGTGTGGGTTTGCCCTCTGCTTGTACTGGCAAGTGACAGTAATAATACTCAAGTTTAACATGGATTTACCAGGGCCTTCGGTAATTTGTTTATACCAGCTGCTGTAAACTCTTCCTCTGTAGTCCCAGTTTGGAGCATCAGATGATGCCATGCGTAGGCTTGTCAGGCGGATATATGAATTTGTGGATGCGGTGATTTATGGTCTATAGCTTTGTGCAACTGGAAAATGATACTCCCTCCGTTCCAAAATTCTTGTCTTAGATTTTTCTACATAAGGATGTACTTCCTCCATCCCAAAATAAGCATCTCAACTTTGTACTAACTTTAGTGAACTTCACTAAAGTTAGTACAAAGTTGAGATGCTTATTTTGGGACGGAGAGTATGTATCTAGACAAATTTAAGACAAGAATTTAGGGATAGAGGTAACGGTTTAGAAACTAAACGTAGGTAACTCTCACTAAGCACTTAGAGATCGAGGTAGAGTTTGAGAATTACAATTGAGTGTCAAGTTTTACATGGAGTAGAACAGAAGGGTCACATGATCTTTTTTAAAGATGTTTTTTAGCCCGTTGGCACTTATGAACCACCTCGGTACGATGTTTTGTATTTTCGAAAGTCTAGTTTTTGAAATGTAAACCGAGTCCTGCACACGAGGGGTCCAGTCCGTTTGTATGGGTCGCTAATGTCAGGCCGGTCACCTCGACGGAGTAATTTTTATTATGTGGGTGGCTAATGTCAGGCCGGTCACCTCAATGGAGTAATTTTTATTATATTTGAGGTGTTTTGTACTCTCAATATGAATCTTTATAATAGATCTGACCTTTTTGCAAAAAAGAAAAAAAAACACACAAGTTATGTGACGCTAGTTGTCTCACGACGCTTGTCCCACCCTGATTATGTTTCTTCCCATTTCTTCACAAGAGTCCAGGAGAAGTGCTGCCGTGAGTTCAGATTCTCAGATTTTGCGTGGGACAGATGTCCCGTGTCCAGTGACTCACGTTGTTTTCCTCACTTGATCAATCCAATAATATCTTTCTTATACTCCTACTTATATAAAGGGTATGGGGTTGGTAATGATTCACTCTCCCTTCGATTTTCTTTACATAGACTCATATGCAAGACTAAAATTTATGCACAGTTTTTCGACCAGTAGCCCTGCAAAAGGCATAAATAAATAAATAAATAAATTCTTACTCTTGAGGAATCAACACTTCTTTCTAGCTTTTGGCAGTGGGGTAGCGCCTGGTTCTCGGTGTTGCTGTGATGTTGTAAGAAAACTATAGTTACCTCGAACTCTTAACAAAGAAATAACGTGCAAACTTCTTGCGTCTTTCCAGGAAAAAAAACTCTTGTAATTTAACTTAGAGTACAAGTGTGAAATGTCACTCTAACTTAAAGCCTTATCTAAAAAGAAACTTAAAGCCTTATCTCACAACAAGAAACCCCCATCTTTGGCAAACGTTTTGTCTGCCACTCGTCTGTTTGCTTGCTCGGCATGGCGCTACTAGAACATGATATGTCAGGAAACCTCGCATTCCCTAGCCTGGCGGTGGCAAAGATGATGCGACGTTGGAACTATCAAGAAGGCTCGGGTCTCGGTGCACATGGGCAAGGGATCATCGCGCCTATACAATTCACCGCGCGGTGTCCAAAAGCTGGCATCGGTCATTGTGAGAAACCATATGACAACGGCTTATACGTTCCGTCGTTGCCACATGCGGAAGAGGAGTGGCATAAGTGGAAGGGTCTTTCACGAGCCTTGCGGCTTGTAGTAGAGTGCTACGAAAAGATCCTCTCACTGCTACGTGACATGACGCTTCAAGGGGACGATAGCGTGGAGACGGCGGCCGCATTGGCGGTGATCGTTAATTCCAAGAAGGTGATCCAGGGGAACCGCACACTAGGGATGTGGAAGGCCACACTGCCATCCTCCACCTTGCAGTACATCATCGAGCAGGTGATCATGCCGAGGATGGCCATGGATGCACGAGAGTGGATGCCATCGTGGGATCCGGACTGTCACCACTGGCTTCGCCCATTGATTCCTCTCATCGGCAACTTACCACGATCTCTTTATGACATTGTTGAAAGCAAGATAAGCAATGGCGGCTATGATGTTGTCTCGCCATGGAAGGAATACCTTGACCCAACACAGTGGGATACCTTCAGCCAACGTCACATCTTGCCGAAGCTAGCACGGTTCACACGGGGGCTAAGGATCACGCCACCGAAGCAAACCGACTCCTCGTTTCGCACGTTGATGCTATGGGCACCTCTAGTGCATGTTGAAGACATGGTATTGATACTAGAAGCTGAGCTATTTTTCGATAAATGGGAAGGTGCGCTGCGACACTGGTTGCGGGCCGCGAAACCCTCGTTTGGGGAGGCCACCGCATGGTACACCGGCTAGAAAAAACTCTTCACGCCAGAGCTACTTGCCAACGAACGGGTGCTCGCACATCTCGAAGCTGGCGGTGGCATTGTTGACAGTCTTGTAGATTATACTTGGTAGTTTGCATCGACCGCAATTTTTCTTGTAAACATGTAGTTACTCCTTAGCAATATGTATTGTAGAGATGTAGTTACTCATTTTGTTTCGAAGTAATATTATGGGAAATACTCAAGTACCTATTAAATATTATGTCACTGAATAAATTCTCTCAAGAATATTGGAGATTAAGAAAGTGTTCCTTTTCTTTGGGTCGTATGGAAACAATAGGAATAACTTATACTCCCTCCGTCCGAAAATACTTGTCGGAGGAATGGATGTATCTGTTGGGGAACGTAGTAATTTCAAAAAAAAATCCTACGTGCACTCAAGATCATGGTGATGGCATAGCAACGAGAGGGGAGAGTGTTGTCCACGTACCCTCGTAGACCGTAAGCGGAAGCGTTATGACAACGCGGTTGATGTAGTCGTACGTCTTCACGATCCGACCGATCCAAGTACCGAACGTACTGCACCTCCGAGTTTAGCACACTTTCAGCTCGATGACGATCCCCGGGCTCCGATCCAGCAAAGCTTCGGGGATGAGTTCCGTCAGCACGACGGCGTGGTGACGATGATGATGTTCCACCGGCGCAGGGCTTCGCCTAAACTCCGCGACGATATGACCAAGGTGGAATATGGTGGAGGGGGGCACCGAACACGGCTAAGGAATGATCCGTAGATCAACTTGTGTGTCTATGGGGTGCCCCCCGCCCCCGTATATAAAGGAGCCAGGGGGGAGGAGGTGGCCGGCCAAGGAGGGGGCGCCAAGGGGGGAGTCCTACTCCCACCGGGAGTAGGACTCCCTTCTTTCCTAGTTGGAATAGGAGAAGGGGGAAAGAGGAGGAAGAGGGGAAGGAAAGGGGGGGGGGGGCGCCGCCCCCCTTCCCTTGTCCTATTCGGACTAGGAAGGGGAGGGGTGCGCGGCCCCCTCCTGCCTCCTTCCCTCTTCTCCCTCGAGGCCCATGTAGGCCCAATAACCCCCCGGGGGGGGGGGGTTTCGGTAACCTCCCGGTGCTTCGGTAAAATGCCGATTTCACCTGGAACAATTCCGATGTCCAAATATAGGCTTCCAATATATCGATCTTTATGTCTCGACCATTTCGAGACTCCTCGTTACGTCCGTGATCACATCCGGGACTCCGAACAAACTTTGGTACATCAAAACTTATAAACTCATAATAAAACTGTCATCGTAACGTTAAGCGTGCGGACCCTACGGGTTCGAGAACTATGTAGACATGACCTAGAACTATTCTCGGTCAATAACCAATAGCGGAACCTGGATGCCCATATTGGTTCCTACATATTCTACGAAGATCTTTATCGATCAAACCGCATAACAACATACGTTGTTCCCTTTGTCATCGGTATGTTACTTGCCCGAGATTTGATCGTCGGTATCCAATACCTAGTCCAATCTCGTTACCGGCAAGTCTCTTTACTCGTTCCGTAATGCATCATTCCGTAACCAACTCATTTGGTCACATCGCTTGCAAGGCTTATAAAGATGTGCATTACCGAGAGGGCCCAGAGATACCTCTCCGATAATCGGAGTGACAAAACCTAATCTCGAAATACGCCAACTCAACATGTACCTTCGGAGACACCTGTAGTACTCCTTTATAATCACCCAGTTACGTTGTGACGTTTGGTAGTACCCAAAGTGTTCCTCCGGTAAACGGGAGTTGCATATTTCTCATAGTTATAGGAACATGTATAAGTCATGAAGAAAGCAATAGCAATATACTAAACGATCAAGTGCTAGGCTAACGGAATGGGTCATGTCAATCACATCATTCTTCTAATGATGTGATCCCATTAATCAAATGACAACACATGTCTATGGTTAGGAAACATAACCATCTTTGATTAATGAGCTAGTCAAGTAGAGGCATACTAGTGACTATATGTTTGTCTATGTATTCACACATGTATCTGAAGGAAATATGCCCTAGAGGCAATAATAAAGTTATTATTTATTTCCTTATAATCATGATAAATGTTTATTATTCATGCTAGAATTGTATTTACCGGAAACATAATACATGTGTGAATACATAGACAAACAGAGTGTCACTAGTATGCCTCTACTTGACTAGCTCGTTAATCAAAGATGGTTATGTTTCCTAACCATGAACAATGA